GTTGCTGTCCCCTTGAGGAACAGGTGTGCACAGCATATAGAAAGCCCAGGAATTAATTCATCAACAACATAGCTAAGCTCCTCCCCTTTACAATTGTTTCAGTACTTTCCAGTTCCCTAAGAATCCCTTTTTCAGTAAAGAAGGGTGTGAGGTACCTCTTCCTGCTTCCTATTTCCTCCACCTCTACCTGTACCTGGAGCCAGGCAATGGCTCCAGAAAAGAGGGAGGGTCCTTTCCCTCAGAGTTTTTGGCTGTCGATGGCCCTGCTGACACTGCCAGAATAGCAAAATCACTGAGACTGGGAATTAGGAAAAGATAGGAAAAGAAAACCAAAAAAAGTGGAGATTCTTCCACATTCTCTGAATATTGGGAATTCCTTCTCCTTACTGAGGCTTCTCCCAGAGCTCTCTGTCCCTAGCACCCACTTCAGCTTCCTTAGTACCCTGGGCCATGCCAGGGGCTACCAGAGTGAAAACAGAACACTTGTTACTCTATGATGCACTTAGCATGATAGTCTTCTCCCCTGACCCAAATGTTACTGTTTTGTTTGAGTTTTCAAATAATTACTCTGTGCACCTGCCAAGGTACATTAGCTCCATTCAAGGGAGAGACTGGATGGGGTGAGCCTGCTTTATCTCACTCAGAACTAGCCTCATCAGTCCTTTGTGCTCAGACCAGGGACCTCACAGGGTTCCTACATCCACGTTCTTCTTAGGCTTTCCTCACTTACCACCATGCCCCTTCCCTGCTTTGGGAGAAGAGTTCTCCCTCTGGGCACAGGTCTACATGTTCCATATCTATGACTGGCTGTGGTCATGTCCAGTGACTTGTCTTTCTCCCCAAGCCTCCCCAAAGGCACTGGCAATCTCTTTTCAGACATTAGTTATCTGAATGCAGATGTCTTTGGGAAGCATTGATTGACTACAGCTGGATGTTCACAGTGTCCTGAAGGGAACTGGGCTCTCAGCCAATGGGTTCTCTATCTGGAGGCCAGGAGCTTTTCAAACATGACCAGGGTGTGTTTGTTCCTGGGAGTGAGTGTCCCTTCTTGGCCTCTGGCTCCTCTTTCAGATTTTTTGGGCATGTTCCCCAGAAGGTTTTCCTCCTCTCTCTGGAATTCAGATAGAGTTTTAGAAGGGCATGGACAATTAAAAGTCACGGTAATTAGACTTTTCATTCTTTCCCTAGTGAAAATGGAGAATGTAGGGAGAGAACTAAAAACTACGTGTCTTTAGTGGCTAATCCAGCAAAGGCTTTGAAAGAGCTTTGTCTCCCACTGTTGATCGGTCAATAGAAAGTTTAGGTAAAGGCTCAGAGAACTGTAGAAATGCATAGGTTGGACCGTCATTCAGCTTAAGCAGATACAGTACGACAATAACACAGCCAAGCCTGCATGGGTGATCACTGTATTCCAACTTCAGCACAGTACTATGGGTGATAAGGTGCAATCCAATGAAACCTAGTTCTTTCTCTCTTGACCAGGAACTGATTCTCTTTAGCTGAACCTCAGTTCTGGAAGGTGGCCTTCTAAAGAGCCATACACCACAGTCTGTGCCCTGAAAGGACATCAGCTTGAGAGTGTTGAGCAGGTGACCAGTGTCAGTGGTGTTACCCTAATGAAACACACTATGTGTTGGTTTCAGGAAGCATGCGCAGCCCTGCTGGACCAGTGCCTCCACTATGTTCGATCCAAGGGCTCCCAAAGCAGCCCTGAGAATACAGAAAGTGATGTGAGCATGGGGTTCTCTTTCAACCCAGCCTCTACATCCCCTGCCTCCGGCCCCAGCCCAAGCCTTGTGATTGATGGGAGAAGTTTGGCCTATGCCCTTGAGAAAAGCCTGGAAGACAAATTTCTCTTCCTTGCCAAGCAGTGCCGTTCCGTCCTCTGCTGTCGGTCTACCCCTTTGCAGAAGAGCATGGTGGTGAAACTGGTCAGAAGTAAGCTCAAGGCCATGACTCTGGCCATAGGCAAGTATCCATGCCAGTATGGCTAAGCCTGACCTCGCATGTATCTCATTCTGCCACTTCCTTCACTACAATCTGAATTTCTAATGCTATTCTATATAACACCATGTAAAAAGAAAAGCCTTCTTCATCTTTTTTCCATTTATAATTATATCCAGCATGATAGAGTAGCACATTTCTAGGTATAAAGCTTATACTAGAAATCCATAAACTACATCTCAATAAAGTATATTAAGCATAAGAAAGAGACGTCTTAATCCAGGCCTGGGGCACACCTGGATACTCCAATTACTGAGGAGGCTGAGGCAAGACAATTACAGGTTTAAGTCCAGCCTGGCCGACTTAGTGAGATCCTGTCTCAAACTAAAAAGTAAAAAAGGGGCTGCAGATATAACTCATATATTTGTGTCTTTATTTGTGGGGGCTTGAGATATGTGCTGTGATTTAGGCTATTCTTTAGCCCAGTACAAGAATGAGCACTAGTGTCATGAATCATAATGACTATATCTGTTTGACATCCCAAAGATGCCAAGGTCTCTGACTTGTTCTTGTGTTCCTAACATTCATCAGTCAACTGCTTAATAGAACAAATGGAAGTTCTCCTTCATCACACCCCCAAAGGCCCCACAGGCACATAATTTAGCCTGTTTTGCTTAGGTTAGCAAACGGCTAAGGTTAGTATGACTCAGAATAGCCTTGATACCTGGCAGGAGTAGATGAGTAACTATAACAATGATGAAGGTGATGGCAGCATCTCTCATTGGGCCGGATACCACATTAAGGGTTTTTTTTCTCTTCAGATCCTGACAGTGTAGATCCCATGGAATAAAACAGTGGCTCAGTGCTAGCCACTTTGGGGAAACCTTTTGATGTTGCTGGTAGTTCCATGCTATACCATGCCTGATCCTGTCTGCCTCAGTTTTCTCAGGAACCTGCTATTCTGCCCTTGTCCCGATCTTTCTCATGACTCTTTCATAGAACTCAGTCCAGCAGGGTCTCCCAAGAAACTCAACATGTCCACCTGATTCTGTGAATCTCAAACTCAGTGATTCTTCCTGCTTATGTTGTTTTTAGGTGATGGAGCCAATGATGTCAGCATGATCCAGGTAGCAGATGTAGGCGTGGGGATCTCAGGTCAAGAGGGCATGCAGGTAAAGACCATTTGGGCAAGGTTTGCCTTCTTATAGCCTATGCTCTTCTTCTGCTAAGCCAATAGTAGAAACTGAGGTAGAATGTCACTCTGTTGATAAAGACATCCACATTTGGGGGAAATCTTAAGAAGAAAAATGAGTCTTTTCCTGGCTGCTCAGCTCATCCTAGGAGACATTTCTGTTTACTGTTCCTCAACAGTAGCCATACCATGGAAAGGTTGCCTTGTTGTAGTGCTGTTAGAACCTAGATGCACTCTAATGATGGAATGTAGCCACCATGACTCCTCCCGGCAATGAAGTCTGTGCTTCTTATCTGTCACCTTGTCAGCTCTGAATCTTCCAGAAGTTGAACACATGAGTTAACTTAAAATATGCCACTCCAGGATAGAGTATTATAACAACTTCCAACATTTCTGAATGACTTCTAATACCTGATACAATGTAAACATTATATAAATAGTTGTTATGCTGTATTGTTTAGAGAGAATAATCTCCAAATTTCAATATGGTTTTTTCCTGAATGTTTTCCATCCACAGTTGTTTGTGCCTGCAAATTCAGATCCCATAAATACAAAATACTGACTATAAATGACTAAAAGTTTAGAAGCTTAAAACCTTCACATCTGAAACAGATGTATATGCATATTCCTGTTGATATGTAAGGATTTAAAATGCTTTATGTGCTCTTCAATTCCTCAGTCATTATCCGTTCTCTTAAAAATTATTTAATTAGACCCCACTATTGCCCAGCCCAGACTTAGAAACACAGACACTATCTGACACAATTGCCGTCCTCAATGGTGTCAGTTTAAAAACCCATTCAAAGGGGACAGTAGTTAAAAAGGAGCTGAGGCTCTTTCTTGCTAGTAGAGAGCTTACCTAGCACATGTAATGCCCTGGGTTTGATCTCCAATGCTTGAAAAGAAAAATAAGAACAGATGAAGAGACTTCTAGGCTTTTGCAAACAAGCGAAGCTACTGGGAATTCATGAAGACACTCCCTTGGCTCTCCATGCTTCTGCCTCTCCTGCCCACCTTAATTCCAGCCCAGACACATTGCTTGTCCCTCTGCTGAAATGGCCTTTACAAATATTCACAGCTGTCCCAGTTATTCTGGGAATCCCACTAGACTGAGTAGTAGATGCTATGATCACTTTGTACCTAGTTCCCCTCAGAGCTTGGCTTCAGGGACTGTTCCACAACATGGCAAACAGGATGAGCCTACAGAGACTGAGCATCTCAAGAGCAGAAGCTCTTTTGTCCCTTCCAGTTCTTGGCCTGAGACGGCCTTCCCACAATGGCTGGAATTATGACCTCCTACTTATCTTCCTGGCTCCTCCACAAGAGTGCAACCAAGATTCCGCACATACCTGCTCCACAACTAAGAGGCCAAAATAGTGTCCCTGCACTTATTGGAAAAAAAAATGAAAGCAACAGGGTCATTGGAAGAGGTCTCACCATCCCACATAACACATCCTCCATTAAGTGTAACTTACAGTAAATATGGAAGTGTTCAGCAACATCCTACCTAGAAATTTGCTGGCTCAAAGTTGTGTGTCCAATAGACCAGGTATTCCCATCACTGCTCACATGCCTCCAGTCATAGGTCTTACAATCTAAGGCGAGGTGCAGCAGAAGCAGTTGAGTCTCCTCCCCAGCTATTCACCATCAAGGCCTTTAATACAAAAGGCTTCTTTTCAGGTTTCTTTGCATATGGGATTATAGGTATTGTGCTAATCAGCTTTTCCTTATGGGAAATAAGGGAAAACAGACAATTCAGAAAAGGCCCTAACATTTTTTTTCTCTTTTCATTCATTCAACAAATGTTGAGTTTCCCCATGTGTATGGCCTTGTTCTGGGTATTGTGAAGAGAAAAAGGAAAGTCAAGTGTCAGGTCCTTTGTGTCATGTGTGACACTGACAGTGACTGAGTGAGTGATGGGGGAAGGAGATGACTGAGAACAGACCCATGAAGAGCTGCCACCAGCCTTCTACACTCCCAGGCTCAATATCTGCAGATCCTAACAACTGAGAGAGTAACATCTGGGAAAGAGATGCATCAATGCTGGCCATCTACAGATTCCATTCCTTAAAGAATATGGTGCAATAATAACTGTTTATCCTCCTGGGGAGAACAGTCAAAGATGCAACTCCCAGGATACCTGATGGTCTGTCTAACACACATCAAAGGGACAGTTTTGGTTCCTCTTTGATTTGAGATCTGAGTACAGTACAGAAGCAAATAAGATATGGGGCTGGAAAAAGGTGGGAAAACTCCACACCTCTACGATTTGTGGCTTTTCAGAAAACAGCATTAGAAAAAAAAAAAAGTAAAACCTTTTAAACTCCTCAATCACATATTCAGTATCTAAAGACTTAAGTGGCCCTGTAAAGTGGCACCCCTAAGCAAGAGTGTTTATTGAAGCCAGGCATGGTGGCACAGGCCTTCAGTTCCAGCATTGGGAGGCAGAGGCAGGCAGATTTCTGTGATATCAAGGCCAGCCTCGTCTATGTAACAAGTTCCAGCCCAGCTGGAGCTACAGGGAGACCCTGTCTCGAAAAAACAGACAGATGATAGATAGATAGATAGATAGATAGATAGATAGATAGATAGATAGATAGATGATAGATAGATAGATGATAGATAGATAGATGATAGATAGATGATAGATAGATAGATAGATAGATAGATAGATAGATAGATAGATAGATAGATGATAGAGTTATTGGGTCCTTTTCTTCTTAATGGAAGAAGTTGGTGAGGTAGAGGAAGACAAAGCCACACTAACACTGTGTTTTAAGCTGGATTTCCTTCCTCCCGTGTCTTACCTTGCATTGGGAGCCATAAGAAAGACATATGCCAAGTGGACAACAGTAATGAGAACTCCTCTCCTTTTCAAGGCAGTGATGGCAAGTGACTTTGCAGTGCCGAGATTCCGATACCTGGAGAGACTCTTAATTGTCCACGGACACTGGTGCTACTCCCGACTGGCCAACATGGTGCTCTACTTCTTCTACAAAAACACAGTAGGTGTTTGGCATGGATCTTTAGAGTTTTTTAATTAAAAGATTTAATATTTGTAGGATCATCGTTTGCCTAAGACCAGCAGGCCACCAGGGTCCCCTGTCTGTCCACTCCATCCATCTTGACCTCTGTGCATGTCTGCTGTCTTAGCCCGACTTTGTACACTGTATCTCAGAAGACTGACTTATGGGCAGCAAGAAGAGCTGTATCTCTAAAGAGGAAATCTTATAAATAAGCAGGTAACACAAAGTCCACACATGATTTTGAGAAGTAGTATAACCACAGGCCAGCAGTTTTCACAGGGCCACACAGCTAGTAAGCTGCTGAGAACCATGTCACTATCTGATACTGATTCTATTTCCAAGTTCTCAGCTACTTTTCACATGTTATGTAGGACCATTTTGTTGGGATGTCCACACTGAGACACTGATTTTTCTACAGTAGACAGGGAAGGTTAAAGGAGAAGTGTGTTTGGTGGCTTTAGGGTCAGAAAATTACTTGACGATGCTGTGGCTCAGATAATGAGTGGTGTCTGTTAGACACACATACCCCAGGCCCGGCACAGATCCCCTGGTCAAGGATTATACCTGGCAAGAAAGGGAGCTCCCCACCCTCATGGACTTGGGAGCCGATTTGCCCTCTTCCCACTAGTTCAGTTGGTAACTCTGTTAACTTGCAGTGAAGGCTCCCAGGCCAGTTGGTCTGTGGACAGTTGTGTCTCTGCAGAGACTTTAAATACAGGGCCCTTCTGTTTCTGTCCCACTGGGGTCCTGGTGTTTAATCTTAGTTCCTTCACACTAAATCTTTGGGAGCAACCTCTCCACAGCCCTGTGAGATGGTCTGCAAGGCCCTTACAGCTCTGACCCATTTAGAAGAGCTTTCTAGAGACTCTCCTGGGAAGCTGCTGGGTTGCTCCTCTTGTCTCTGCCTCTGATAGCTTGAGGATGAGTGAATCAACAAGAGACAGAATTCCTGGCATAAATGCTTTTCCATGGTTGTCCCATAAATCTCACTGTCTAGTGTCAAGATTATACTATGATCTTCTGAAAAAAATAAAACAAAAGGTTTTTATAAATTCCATATAAAACTCTCCAGGCTTAATCTAAGCTGCTGTTAGTATGCCTCTTTCGTGTTCTTAATGTCTTGCTCTGGAGGCCGCCACCTACCTTTCCATTCCCAGCTTCTAGCCACTCACTCACCTGATTTTCACAATGTCTTCTAACGAATACAAATGCTCAGGACATTTCTAATTGGGTAAATTTGGAAATCAGTTCAGACTAAGCTCTTCCTGATACCACATTCAAAAGGGTGCTGTTTCTGACCTAATGACTTCATTTCTCATTTTCTCATACCCGGTATTGAATCACCAGTACGGTGAGGCCTCAAACACACAGCTGCAAACCTAGAGGCTTCCAGCTCCTACATGCAAACATGACTATGTGGCACCCTTTAGGATGGAATCTAGCCTCATTTTCTGTCACTCATTGACCATGAAATCTTAAGCAAAGTTGCTCCTCAACTTATAGGGTTACATCATCCTGATAAATCTATCACAAGTTGAAAATATCACAAGTGGAAAATGCATTTAATACCTAGGCCACCCAGTATCACAGCTTAGCAGCACAGCACAGCACACTGAAGCATCTGCTTGCTGTCTACTTGTAGCCTCATGGCTGCCCTGGGAGCTTTGGCTTAAAGCCACTGCTCAGCATTTCATGAAAGAATAAAGCCCAGGCAAAGACAAAGATCCAAATCAAGATTTAGAGCTTCTGGTGAATGCACATTGCTTAAATACCATCATAAAGTCAAAAAATCCTAATTGAACTAAGTTGGATACCATCTATATTTAACTTCTCCAGGTTATTTTTTTAACCCCCAAACAATTCAAGTTTCTCAAATTGAGAGAGTCATCAGAATAATATAAGCCAAACCATTTAACATTTTAGAAACAAACAAAGGCCAGAGTGGCCACTTGGGGTGGCCAACGGCCTCCCACTGCCAGGATAAGCCTGTCCTTGTTGGAAGACACAGAGGGGAGGAAGAGTCACCTGGTTTTATTGTTGTAAGATGCAGGGCCTTCGTTAAGGAGCATTCATCCATGTGAGGAGTTCAAGGATAATCACTCCTCACTGGAGAGATTCATTAGTTTTAAGAATAAGATGGCTTTCCTTTCCAATAAAGAGCAGAGAAGCTAGTTTCCATAGCAACAGTAGTTTGAGACTAAAGCTCTTTGGCTCTTAGGGGTGGGGGTAGAGGAGCCTCTCAATTATTTAAGTATTTTTCTTCCTGTTCCCCTTGACACCATTTGCTCTACTATGACTCATGAGGCTGAGCCCATGCAGGTGGGTGAGAGGGAGTCAGTCGTGGGCGGAAGGAAAGGAAGAAAGTCAATGAAAGTCCAAGCCTGTCGTGTGGAGGGGGAAGGTTGCATATTAAGACACTTAAGTAATAGATTGAAACAGTACTTGGGGGACTTTAGTCATAGCTTCCACCCACATAGACTAACATTTCTGCTGATCTTCACAAGCCATTTTCAAGTGAGGAAACCAAAGCTCAGAGAGGTTAAGTAACTGAATCGAAGAGCCACAGAGAGTTGTAGCTCAGATCTCAACCCAGACCTCACAGTGCCTAGTAGTGTTTGTCCACTCTACCATTCCTTTTTAGGGGACTGGCCCCCGAACCCTAGGCCCAAGATCCATCTGTGTTTGGAACAATTGGGTTTGTTTTCATACCATGATCAAGGCTTCATATCTCAAACCTTAGCTTTCTGTAAATGGTAAGAACACCTTGACCTTCAGCCTCAAAGAAGGAAATGACAAAGATAACAACTAAGATGAGTATGCCTCGGGTGATAAGCCCAGCATGCCAAGAACTCTGATGAGGTCTTCAAAGGCATTAGTGTTTGCCTTTGAGGGTAAGACTCACTTGTATGACCACATCAGGGACAAGGAAGATGAAGGAAAGACTATAACATGATTTATGCCAAGTTGCAACTTTGGGAAGCTTGAGAATGTACTGCGTCGGCTTTCATCATCTAATGAAATCCCTGAGACAAACAACTTATAAGGGCTCACAGTCTCAAAGGTTTCAACCCATAGTCATTTGGCCCTGTTGTCTTTGGGTCTGTGGTGAGGCAACACATCATGACTGAAACAAAGCTGCCTATCTAGTGGTGTTCAGAGGGACAGAGCCAGCAGATTCCCAGGATTCCTCTAAGGACATGCCTCAATAAATTACCTTCCTCTCACTAGGCCCCACCTCTCTAAGGTTTCACTACCTTCCAATTGCTTATAGCTGGCAACTGACCAAGCCTTAACTCATGGGCTTCTGAAGGACATTTAAGATTCAAACCACAGTGTCTGTCAAACTGCTGTGCTCCCCAGGTAAATGTGCACAGGCCACTCATACTCAGTGACCTAGTAATAGTAGAAAGCTATCCTCCCAGCTTCCACCACTACTGAGAAGGCTGTTAAAGATGTCTGCTTCTTGTTCTCCTATTTGGCGAATCAGGGACACTTGTAAGGTCAGAGATCATTCCTATAATGCCCTCGCCAGCAGACAGCCCGAGGCCAGCCCAGCTTCGATGGAGACAGAGGCACGGTTCTTGTCTTCACTCTTACACTTGTGTGTCTTTCTCTTTTAAATTTTTTAAAAAAATTATATGTATATTGGGGGGGTGCACATGTATGCAGGTCCCTGCAGAAGCCAGGGGCATCAGATCCCCCAGAAGCTGGTGTTATAGGCAGTTGTGAGCTGCCCAGTGCGGTTGCTGGGAATTGAACTCAGGTCCTCTGGACGAGCAGTACGTGCTTTTACCAGCTGAGCCATCTCTGCAGCCCACGTGTGTCTTTCTCTTAATGGGACTTGATAATTATCCACTGTTCCTCATTAAAAATGAGGCTGAGTTAGGCAGATGTTGAATTTAAGCCTGCCTGGGCTACACGGTGAAATTTTGTTGCAAAAGAAAAGATGGAAAATGTGTGACTGAGGAGGGAGATGGGATCAGAGATGTATCCTGGGGCAGATTTGGGGAGAGATACAAAAGAGGAGGAGGGTCCTGGGGAAGAAGCCATGGACCCTCTTAAAATGTGAGCTGCCCTGAGCCCAGTCACACTTTGATTTTGTGTTTCAAATTGGTCATCTCCAGCTCTTCATGTCCAAAACTCATCCCTCAGTGGGCTGCTCCTGAAAGTTCCAAATGCCTGCTGCTGGCTTCTTAAGGGCAGGGGGGTTGGGGAGAGGAAGAAGGAGAAGCATGCCAGCCATAGGGCTCAAGATTAGGACTGCCTTTGGAAGAAATCTCTGCCTAGCCACTTAATCTTTACGGAAAACCTCTTCAGGGTTCTTGGTTCCCGCAGGGAGAAGCTGCAGGGGACAGCTCAAGAGTAACCTGTTCCCATGCCTCCTTTCTTGGTTGCAGATGTTTGTGGGCCTCCTGTTTTGGTTCCAGTTTTACTGTGGATTCTCTGCATCTGCCATGATTGACCAGTGGTATCTGATCTTCTTTAATCTGCTCTTCTCATCACTTCCCCAGCTCGTGACTGGGGTGCTGGACAAGGATGTTCCAGCCAACATGCTGCTGAAAGAGCCGCAGCTCTATAAGAGTGGCCAGAACATGGAGGTAACCTCCCCTGAATCTCTGCCTCCATCTCCTACTCCTCCACCCCTTGGTTCACCTTTCAGAAAGTGTAAGTCCCCAAGCATCCTTTTTAGTAGACACCCCAGAAAACTGTTGAAATTGTAGAATGAATACAATTTGCTAGACTCTCTAATGCATTGAATTAGCTCTGCTTTGGTATATCAAAATATCTGAGACAATTAACTTGTGAGAAGGAAAGGCTGCTTAAGCACATGATTTGGACGTTCGTCCCATTGGGGCTTCTGGTAGGAGTGCTGGATGGCAATGCTGAGAAGCACATAGTAGGGCAAGGTGTGCAAGCCAGGCACCAGGAAGCAAAGAGGAGGTGACCAGGGCCCGCCATCCCCATAGCGGTATGCCCCAGTGACTTAAAGCTCTTCTAGTCTCCATTTCCTGAAGGTTCCATTGTCTCACACAAAGGCCACTCTGGGGACATTCCAGATCAAAACCATTGTGTTCATTCATAAAGCGTATTGAATGAAAACCTCCTCCTTCTTCACCTCAGCCTTTTCCAGAAGCCCAATGAAAACCCACTCAAATCTAACTCAGTCATAGGTGATAACTGAGGCCCAAGTAGGATTTTCTAAAGCAAGCAAAAAGACAAAAAGCAGCACAAAACATCCTTATTTTCCTCAAAAGGAATTAAGTCAATCCCCAAAAGAAAACTACTAAAAGAGCAGACAGATGTAGTACATGCTTACATCTGCCAAGTACATGTGCCAAGCATGGCACATGATTGGCATTTTGATAGCCCTGTGTCCTTATAGGAAACCAGCTGAGTGCTTCTCTTTGGCAAGTTTGGGTTTCATGTATGCTAAAAGTGAGTGGCATCCCATCTCTTCTATAGCATCTCTAATTCGGAATTTATTCTGAATTTATTCTGAATTTATTCTGAATTTATTCTGAATTTATTCTGAATTTATTCTGAATTTATTCTGAATTTATTCTGAATTTATTCACCCCCCTATGACCGCTCTATTGACACTGAGTCTTCACAGGAGCAGGCTGCACAGATTGAAAGGCAGTGCACAAGGAGGCAAGGGAACCGAACCTATCATCTTGAGGGAGTTTCAGTCTTAGCTAGCTCACTCACCTCCACCAGCCATGAGACAAGATACTGTGGTCTTTTCGTGTAGAATGAGGGACCAATGAGAATGTCCCCAGCACTTCCTTCATGTGGTAGTAAATGCTCCTCCTGTCCTCTGTGTGTTGCCCACAGGCCAGAACCTGTGCCAGGTACTACAGGACTTAGTAGGGATAAATACAAGTTCGGTTATCCAGTAATGGAGAATTCTATTTGTGTGTATTAAGGTCATTTTTTGCCATGGATATATAGTTGTTGTAGTAAGTTTGGCATTGCTATAACAAAAACACCTAAGGCAGGTTATTTAATAAAGTAGCTATTTTGTTTTATAGTTCTGGAGGTCCAAGTTTGAAGGGCTACATCTAGTGATGGCTTTGTTTGATTGCTAATTGGTGTGAGAATGTCCAGCCTACTGTGGATGGAACCATCTCTGGTCAGGTGGGCCTGGGCTGTACAAAAAAGGTAGCCAGGGAAAGCAAAAAAATTAACTGCGTTCCTCCATGGTGGTTTCTACTTCAGTTCCTGCCTCCAGATTCCTGCCTTGAATTCCCTCAGTGATAAACTGTTACCTGGAAGTCTAAGATGAAATAAACCCTTTTTTTCCCAAAGTTGGTTTTGGTCAATGTTTTATCACAGAAACAGAAAGCAAAGTAGGACATTGTATCTCTTCTGGTCTCTTTCTTATAACTCAGTCATAGGGGCTCTACCCTGATGGTTTTATCCCTACCAACTTCGTAAGGCCCTGACCTCTGAACACTATAGTTAGACTGTTTTCACTATCAGTATCTCACAAGGGGGACTAAGTGTCAATATGTGAACCCTCAGGGGGATACTCAACCCATATTCTGACCAGTGAAATAGCTTCTTTGTTTTAACATTAAGATGTAGTGATCATTTAATTCACTTTTAAGGGTCGAAGGACTAGAAGGGTCCCCCAGATCAGGGGATACTGCTCAACAGTTCAGGTATTCTCACTCGAGGACAAGATTGCCTTGTAAGGCTGAGTGAGCCGTGTACTTTTCTCTGCTCACCCTCACCTAACACGGCTCATCTTCTTGGTCCCAGTGACTCAGCTGCCAGCAACTCTATGAGCCTTTTTGTTCTGGTTTCTTAACCAGCAAATGGTGCCTTACCTCCCCAGATCCCGAAGCACCACATTTCCCTGCAATGTTTGGCCTGTGTTTTCAAGGCACAGCACACTGGAGAACACTGTGGGGAAGAAAAGCCCTTTTCTGTAATTTCCCTACTTGTTCCTGTGTTCCAGGAATACCGGCCACGAGCCTTCTGGTTAAACATGGTAGATGCTGCCTTCCAGAGCCTGGTGTGCTTTTTCATTCCTTACCTGGTAAGTGGGCACCCAGCCTAGATTTTCTCCTCAACTGTCTCTAGGCTCTCACAGGCATAGAACACTCCTGTCTTGCTGCTGTTTTTCAGGCGTACTACGACTCCGATGTGGATGTGTTTACCTGGGGGACCCCTGTCACAGCAATTGCGCTGTTGACCTTCCTGCTGCACCTGGGTATTGAAACCAAAACCTGGGTGAGAGCCTCTGGCAAGGTCACATTCCAAAAGGGGCTGATACTGTGGGCCACACACTTCCCAGCAGGTGTTTTGAACATACAGGAGACTGTATGTGTCCTACCTGTAATAAGAAGGAAAATGGCATCTCTCCCAAAGCTACTAGCTGGGAAAATGAAGCAGCCTACCCTCCACCCCCTAAGCAGATCTTCCTCCTCCTACCTGCTTCATTTCCTTCACCACCATGCCTCTCCCCCACCTAGCCTTTTCCACTGGCCTTCATGCCCTTGTCCCAGACTGCTCCACTAAGGTCAACTGGCCACCCGTGGCAAGAGTCTTCACTAAGACCTGGCGGTACACCCCGTACCATGACTAGTGCGTTACCATCATTTATTGTCACCTTTAAGATGAAGTAAAAGCCTTTTATTTCTGGTTCTTCTTCAGACCTGGCTCAACTGGTTAGCCTGTGGCTTTAGCACTTTTTTGTTTTTCTCTGTGGCTCTGATTTACAACACTTCCTGTGCAACATGTTATCCTCCGTCGAACCCTTACTGGACCATGCAGACATTGCTGGGAGACCCTCTGTTTTACCTGACTTGCCTCATCGCACCTGTCTCTGCATTGCTGCCCAGGTGAGTGTCCCAGGCAGTACCCTCAAGTCCTAAGCAAAGGCAGAGCATAGCCATGTTGTGTCCCCAAGGCCTGAGAGTGAGACACATGATGCAACCACATTGCTGTGCTTATGTCTGTGTGTGAGTCTCATGAAGCTCAGGCATGGCCACTGCAAAATCTCACTTTTTGATGTGTCCTTTCCAGATTGTTTTTCAAAGCTCTCCTGGGGAGCCTTTTTCCTACCCAGCTTCAGATGGGACGCCGCTTGGCCAAGAAATTCCCCAGCAAATATACCACTCCCAAAGAAACCTCCACTCAGGCACAACCGCCTGGAGATCCTGAAACTGCATTCTCGGGAAGGAGGACCATGGGTCCCTCCGAGTCCTTACCCAAGGACCGTGCCACACAGGTTTCCCCGCTACCACAGCAGCTGGCCTGCTCACCAGAGGCCAGTGGGGAACCCAGTGCACTGGACACGAACATGCCATTAAAAGACGACACCTTGCTGGAGGGACTAGGCACTCAGGTCCCAGGGTCTTCTGTGCCAAGGGAGGCTGTTTCAGAAGAGTGTCCTGGGCACTCCAACGGGAAGCCCACCAGTGAGAGTCCAGCAGCCCCCTTATCATCCCTCTTTAACCTGCCCAGCTTCAGCTCACTCAACTGGATCTCCTCCCTCTCGCTGGCCAGTGGATTGGGAAGTGTCTTGCAACTCTCCAGAGGTAGTTTACAGATGGACAAACAGGACAGCCCTCCGCAGCCAGACCAGGATCTGCACAGCTTACAAAGACAAGTCACAGACTACTTCTAGTGTCACCTCCAAGGGGTTACAGTCACTGTGGTCACAGAGAAAACCTTGAAATGACCTTTTTAAAATTTTATAACAGATGTTTATGTTATTTATGTTTATTATTTGCACAGAAGAGTTCTAGGGAGATATATATTTTAAATGTTTCCAAGACTAACATAGGAAACCAGAGGTACCAAAAAAGAAAGTTTATTTTTCAAGTTCTAAGTAGAATATACTGATAAAGAAAAATAAGAGCTTATATCTATATATAAAGTTTAAAGAAGAATGACACTTGAAAAGTGTGTCTAGATTTATTTTTTCATCTCATTTTGTAAAGAAAAGCAAAATGCTTTGTTTCTTCAACCTACGTGATCCCTGCTTTCTGCAGGCATAAATGTGATAAACAGTTGAGCACTTGGGTGGCTGTGGTGGGTGTGAACACGGAATAGGGAGGAAAGAAGACAGAGGGATGGCTGTGGCCCCTGAGGCAGAGTCTTCCATTGGGGGCAGACTGCAGCTCCTCTTAACCCATAAAACAGAAAGTGAGACCTCAGGAAAAAACTATGTAAAGTTCGTGCCCACACTCAGTTTTCTGCAGGCATTTCATAAAGCTCACTTCATAGGTATGACAGCCTCAATGTAGTGTATTGCTGTTAAAATCATCACAGACAATAAACAACCTCCACTTTGCAAAGAGAGTGTGTCTGGTCACCTCTGTTGTATGAAGATTCTGGTATAAGACCTAAGGGAGTACATTCTGAATACAGTGGGGAACCTCCTTATGCAAGTCGTTTAAGACACTGAAGAAAAAAATATGGTGGCATACAGGCCTGAGCCACTGTGACTGGTTACCCAGACTCAATTAACCAGGCCGTGGGCACCAACATGATCCTTTTAGCCAAGATCCTAGATGTTTTGAGTAATTACCTTTGGGCATTTGTCTGATGAGCTATTATGTCTGTCTGTCCAAAAAGAGAAAAAGGAAAGGGAAATGATTAAAAATCAAGGCAGTTATATCCAAATGATAGCTTGTCTTGCATCCTTTTTCCACTTTGCCAGCCAGTCCTCTGCGTAGTTCCCACTTGGCTCCACAGTTGGGATAGAAAGTAAGCAGGGTGTGTCTCCAGCTTCTGCGGGTGCCTATTTCCAAGGACGACAGTGCAGACAGGGCAGAGGTGTAGTGACAGAGAGTTTGGGGGAAGAATGGTTGTTTACCCACTGAATACTGATCATGCCAAGCACCAGCCAGAATGTGCCTCATTCCTGAAGGTGGACGCCTTCCTACCAGTTCTGGAAGTGGGGGAGTTGGGGGATGCATCAGGAAAATTGAACATAGCAACTAAGATCCAGGATGCCCTGGTCTGTAAATATCCCTCCAAGATTCTTTGTTGGAAACTTCATCTCTACTGCTTCAGCATTGAGAGCCAGGGGCTTTGGAGGTATGCTTAGGACACAAAGGCTCTATCCTGAATGGATTAACACTGTGATTTTAAAAAGGCTGTAGACAGTAGAATCCTTCTTTTGGTCTTCCGCCATCTACCACTGTGACAATGAAGCAGGAGACCCTCACCAGATGCAGGCACCTTAACCTTACACTCACAGCCTCCAGAGCAAGGGAACAAATTTCTTTTTTCACTTATAATTTAATTATTTATTTAAATATCTTTTATTTTATTTTATGTGTGTGAGTGTATTGCTTGCATGTATGTAAGTACACCCATGATGTGCAGTGCCCAAGGACGTCAGAAGAGGGCATGGGATTCCCTGGAACTGGAGTTTTGAACAGTTGTTAGCCACCATGTGGTTGCTGGGAACCAAACCTGGGTCCTTTGCAAGAGCAGCCAATGCCCTTAACTGCTGAGCCATCTCACCAGCCCAAATTTATATTCTTTAAAAATTACCCCAACAAAGCCGGGCATGGTGGTGCACGCCTTTAATCCCAGCACTCAGGAGGCAGAGGTAGGCGGATCTCTGAGTTCAATGTACATAAGCTGGGGGGTGGTGGCCCACGCCTTTAATCCCAGCACTTGGGAAGCAGAGGCAGATGGATCTTTGAGTTCGAGGCCAGCCTGGTCTACATAGCGAGTTCCAGGACAGCTGGGACTACAGGGAGACCCTGTCTCAAAAAAGACCAAAAAAATAAAAAATAAAAAAAATAAATTACCCCAACAGATTCGGTATTCTGTTAGAGCAAAACAAAACAAACCAAGGTATAGAACTGACCCCCTCATCTCTTCGTTTTGAGCTTCTACCTGGTTCTAAGGCTGCTTTGTTCTTGGTGTTGCATTTGCTCCAGTCATCTGAGGCCATATTCATACATCACATACCCAAAAGAAAAAGACATCTCTGCCTAGTTCCAAGCAGTGCTGGTTTCCTTGGCCTCTCCTCATAGCAGTCACATAGCAGACCCTAAATCAGTTACTGATAAATGGAGGGGAATGTGTCCTTTCTGGGGCTCCTTGCTGGAGCTGGGAGGGGAGCCTGGCTCTCGTTAGATGGAAGAGGCAGATGAGGGTGGGAAAGAACTGGAGTGGGCAGCAGCTTCGGAGCTAACAATGCAGGATGGAAGGGGCCAACTGCTCTAACCTTGTCTTGCCCTGTGCATGATGCTACCTTTTCTGTTCTTAGAACTCACATATTTGAAACATTAGCTTGAGAAGGAATGTGACACACTGTATCTTAGTAGTTAAGACACCGCAAGAGCAACAAACATGTACCTGAGGTCTGAGACTTCAAAATTACTTAGATCCCTCTTCTGACCTCCACGGGCATTTTACAACACAGGTGCACCTGACTATGTGCAGGCAATATACTCATACACATAAAATAAAAATAATAAAATATTAAAAAGGAAAGGATACATAAATAGAACAGACTCGATACATCATTTTACAATAAGAATTTATTCTTAAAAGGGTTAAGAATCACTGAGAAAAAGATTTACTAAAAGATTAGAATGAAAAATCATACACATAATAATTCAAATAAGTTAAAATTTAAAATTGAAAGCCATAATATAGGTATGAGAAACTGCAGTGAAGTCTCATCAGACCTCTGAAGGTAACCCTGTAACCCCTTAGGTACCTGGGGTAGTTCCTGGGGTCTTGCCTGCACTTTGGCTTAGGGAGTTTCCTGTCCCCAACCCTGCATCCCTTTCCATGGCTTCTGCAAATGGGGCCTTTCATTACTCAACGTTCTTGGCATCGCCTCTGCCCATCTGTAATCTGCCAAACCTGTTTACTATCAGAACCATTACTCTGAGCCCTCCAGGATGCCACTCCTGTGCCTTAGAACATCAGCAGTCAGGCTCAGAGCAGCATCTTTGTGGAGGAAATCTAATAGATGAAGACTGTTGAACTGAGAAATGACATATAAACCCTCCAGAAAGGAAAAACACTTGCATTACAAACCTTCTACTGTTTCGTACATTAAGTGATAATCAAGACAAAAACATACTCTGAAAAGAGGAATGTTGTACAAATGAGCACGTTGGGTGCTGGGAACCAAACTCAGGTCCTCTGCTAGAGCAGCGAGTGCCCTTAACCAGTGAACCATCTCTCCAGCCCCTGAGCACTCATCTTTTTGAGTGAGAACAACCTACCTGGGGAAGAAGTTCTGCAATATTGAACAAAGTAGCCTGAACACACTCCTCTTTGACCCCGTAATTCTAGGTTGGAGAACTAAAAAATATTTTTGTGCACATGTGGAATGTGTGTTCACATGTATGAGCACATGTACATCTGTGTGTGTGTGTGTGGAGGTCCAAGGTTGACATCAGGTGTCTTCCTTCACTTTATATATCCAGGCAGAATCTTTCACCAAACCTTCTACTAACCAGTTTGCTCTGAGAATCCTGTCTCTACCTCCCATGTTCTATGATTACAGGTGGGCCACCACTCCCACACACCTTTTAAGTGGGTTCGGGGGATGTGAACTCTGGCCCTCTTGCCTGTACTGCAAATACTTTACCTGCTAAGCCATCTTCCAGCTTTAAGGACTGCATCTAAAGAAAATAATCAGTTATTTGCATTTAAGATGTTCCTTAACATTTAGTGTTACAAATGCGGAAGCAATATTAACATCAATAAAGAAATAATTTCAGGAAATATGAAATCACAGATCCAAAATGGACTCTGCTGAGAGAAGCAGAGTAAAAGATTTCCTTCCTGGCAGGACAGAGCCCACTTACAGCATGTTGAATTCATCAGTATGTAGCCAAATGCTTAGCACTTACAATGTTCAACATGTTTTCTGAGGCAGGATGCAAGCTTCATCACAGTATATAGAGGCTTGGGGATAGTGGGTATGTAGTCCTGTTAAAACCTGTGTGTGTGGATAGTTCCAAACCCAGGGTCACACAGATGATCCTGTTTAAACTTGGCTGGTCTCAAAACCAAAAAAGACATGAATGTGGGAAAGGCACAAGTAGGAAGGAAAAGTAATGGAATGGATGGAAGATTAGAAAAGGTAGAGGAGGTTACAGTGATTAGAATGTACTTCACACACGTATGAAAGAGTCGAGGAATAAGTTCAATAATTGTTGTTTAAAAAACTAGATGTGGTGGCACGTGTCTGTGATCCCAGATTCTCAGAAGGCTGAGGCAGGAGGATTTCAAGCTGAGGCAATTCTGAGCTACAAACTGAGATGCCATCTCAGAAAAAAGGAAAAGAAGGGAAATTTTTTAAACTACTCAAGAATACTCTTAATTGGACATTTTTATGACCTTATCAAATTTGTGGGTTCTAATAGATTTGTATCTCCATCAACATTTGGCTTTAGAGCCTCATCATTGAAAACCAGTGTCTTGCTTCCACAAACTAGATATGAGAGTATCACACAAAAAAAATGTTGAGCCACAAATCCAAAATGGTAACCCCAAATGCTACCTTTTCTTTTGTATTCTTTTCCCAGTTGGACAATTAGTCCAAGTGAAAAATATTAAAAGACACTTTAGTTCTAGAATTCCTTAACCTTAGCACAGACCATCCTACAGTAGAAAACAGAAGAGTGGGATGTTGAGGGTCTGGAGGTACAGAGGACAGTAGTAGAGGAGTTGCCTGGCATTTGTACCAGTTGCCTGGCATGGTACCCTGGGTACCATACGAACACTGAAAATAATAAAACTTCCATCATAAATACAGTGTGCTACCCCGATCCAATATTGCCCTTGTTACTCAGACTGC